TGTGTCAAATATTTTGATATTCAGGTTTCACTTTTTTATAATCAATTATAATAAACGTACAAAAAATAACATTTCCTTAAACTTATACATAATCTAAACAACAATTTTCTCTCGCATTTGTAATTTCTATCGCAATAATAATAATAAATCATCAAAACATTACTGGCTATATCTATATGTGTTAAACAGTTTTGATTTTACAGACAAAAAGTATATGAAAAAAGAAAAATAAAATACAAAAACTTCTATACAAATGAATAAAAGTTGTAAAAACTTTCTCATATCATAAAAAACATTTCGTATAAAAAACTGGTCAATAAAAAGTCAAATCAGTTTCTAATCCTCGGATTCAATGATAAAATTTAATGAATTTGCAGCACAGGAAGGAACAGTGGTCTGAGGAGGCGGTGGACAGCCTATTCAGCTTATCCTCATTAGTCGCACCATTAATGTCACACTTTTTGTTTCGCATCTTAACGGGCGTTCCGCCGACACTCTCATTAATGGTGGACCCAATGTCTAGCCTCCTGTTGGCCACCAGTTCCCTATCGCTGTCGTCGTCATGAATGGTACTCTCGTAGCCACTACTGGCCGGTTGTCTCTGGACTATCGGGTGGTGACTCATGAAACTGGGCGACGACACCGATGGCGACGACTTCTTGGCCACCGATGAACACTCGCCCTCCGATGTGGTGCCGTGACCTGAGGTGGTGGTCGACGTGGTGTTCCTCTTGAGCTGCTGCTCCATCTTCTGCTGCTTACGGCTGACCGACGACTTGACGGACGACTTGGCGGGACTGCTGTGCGCGGAGACCGTGACGGTTGTGCCCAACAGACGGTTCACTCGCGGACTTGTGGGCAAAACGGCGTGATTTGGCGATGAGGTCAGGAATAGGGGCTCATTGGGCGACGCCATCAGCGGTGGGGGCGGCGGTGGCAGCGGCGATGTGACGGACAGGGGTCTCGAGGGGACAGTTGTGGGCGATTTGAGCACCTCTTTAGGCGAAAAGGAGAACATTGTATAGTCCGTGAACTCTGGTTTCGGTAGATCCCAGTGACTAATACTGATATTCTGGTCGGACTGGCCGTCCGGATGTCTGAGGGATCGATACTCTATGTCTGCCCTCCGGTGACACGAGTCCCGGTGCTGGCCGTGTATGCGAGGCATCGTTATGGTAGTCAACTGTTGCAGAAACTGCTCGAGTTTTAGTTGCTTCGGTGGTTCCGTTAATGGCTCGCTATGGCAGTCATCCATGTCCTCAACGGAACCGCTATTATTACAAAAATCATTATCACAGCACTCGCTCATAGCCTCCCGGCCGGCGCCGGCTATCCTATCGATGCCCAGTATCTCGGAGTCACTCAATATCCTGAAGGGATCCTCGAAGTTGAACTCGGATTCAGATGGTGTGACCGTCGAGGCACTGGTAGCCATATCTGTCTGACAGCTCACGTCCTGCATCTCTGGCGATAAGACTTTCTGCCGGATCTGTTTGACTGTCGAGCAGTAGGCGCTGTCAGGTGTCTGTGTCGGTGATGTCTGAGCGGCACCGGGAGGTATGTCCGACCAGATATGTTTCGTGTGCTGTTGTATCCACTGCTGTATCCTCTGGTTCTTCTCCTCGTGATAGCAGAGGCCAGTCGTCTCGGTGTCCAACCCGTTGGCGGCCAACTGGGCGTTGGGCCCGTCGACCCATAATTCTTGCGTGAATTTCATGCCTTTCTGGTCTTTCTTGAGGCCCTTCCGGTGCCGCCGTTTAGGTCCGTCGACCCACAGCTCGTCCGACTTCTTGGAGTCCTTCCCCGACCGATGACTGGGCGACGAGACGGGCGTTTCGGCCATTATATGCTTCGGACTGTCGGCTACTAAGCATCTCATGTCCTCTTTGGTGTCTTTTTGTTGGCCATTGGTCTGCACTTGGATTGAGTTGTGTGAGGGGTTTGAGGAGACATTATAATGCAATTTGTTGGCCAACTCTTGGCTGTGATTGAGGTTAGATTTGCCGCAGAAGATGACGGTATCGACCGAGTGCTCCGATGAAGACGTGTAACAGTTGATACCACTTTCAGACTCAGATGTGTTCATCGATTCAGACATGCCTTTGGATTCTGTGGACGAGAATCAAGAATTTGTTTGATAATGACGGTATCGACCGAGTGCTCCGATGAAGACGTGTAACAGTTGATACCACTTTCAGACTCAGATGTGTTCATCGATTCAGACATGCCTTTGGATTCTGTGGACGAGAATCAAGAATTTGTTTGATTTAGAGATTGCGATATAAAGAATATTCTGTAATGTTTTTATATGATTGAAATCAATATAACATTATATAAAGTACTCGACGGAAAAGGGTTTAGCTTTTTATGTGCAAAACGTTTTCGAGTTTTTTTTGGTTTTAGTTTTTTGTTTTATGTTTATTACATATACTTGGGGTCCGAGTGGGAAATGTATTAAACTATTTATTTTGGAAAATTGTGTGAATAAAGCGATTCATTTTGTTTTATATTTTCCACTATTGAATAGAGAGACACAGCGTTTGTGTCACAAAAGTGAAAATATTTCATTACTTATGAAATATAGTGTGTATCATATTTTTGGTGTATAAAACTGATAATATATTTTTCACTGATAATTTTATTCGCGCGGATATTCCGTGGCATATATCATAAAACTGTCTCTACTGTCAGTGCATAAAACTATAGGGAGTGCGGGAGTGAGTGAGTGAGTGAGTGAGTGAGAGGGAGAGAGAGAGAGAGAGAGAGAGACTCTTCGAGATAATGGTCAACAGAGATAATCCCATTGAATGGCTTTCACTATCAGTTTTATTGGTGGGGTCTCTGAATGTGTTCATGCGATGCACTAAAAGGATTAAATTGACGAATAATAGCCTATTTTCAACACAATAACTATACGGTTCAAAAAACTGATATATATTTATATTACATAAAACCGAAAAAATTTGTTTCTCTAAATTTCCAATTCAGACCCGAAAACCATTTATCACACATAGAGTTGTGTGAAAATAAAGTTTCTGTTCGTGACTTTAGATTATTTCCATACTTTATGCGAGAAAAGTGTGAATAAAAAGTTTTATTTTAATAATAATAAGCGGTTATATAAACTACTGTTTAAATAGATTATAATAAAAATTTTTAAATCTCTGAGTATTGAAATATTTATTTAATTAAAACACTAATCTAGTATAATTTATTATATTCAGTTATTATACAGTCACTAGAATATGTGATTTTAATAAAATTAATTTTTAAAATTATATAACATTTTAACCGATCATTTATTGCAAGCATTAGTTGTAAACAAAATTACACAATGAATAAATATATTGCATTAAAGTATACGAAAATAAATTTAGCAACGAATGAAAAATATAATTTAATTTCGCAAAACAACAGCATTTGAATTGTATGTCAAACGGCTCGTTAGGTATGCATAAAATCCGCAAGAAATCCATAGCAAAACCAAATGAGAATAAGAAAAATAATAGAAAAAAGAGGTTTCCCTCAGTCTTGCGATTGAATTCAATTCCATACTTATATCATATATTTTATACACACAATACAAGTCCTAAGATTTAAGCCGAAAGTTGAGTTCATAGTTAAAAATCCTTCTCACGAACCGATTCTCTGATCTGTTTTTCTCTCGACTTTTCTTTTACTTTCGCAAAGACTTCGTTCACTATATCTTTGGTCTGACTTTTAAATCCAATGGAAACTTCATTTTTGGTATAAATCTCCGGATAAAAAGCCGCAGTCATTACTACATAACTTATAAGGGAAAGGGAGTACTAGTATAGTAACTCCAGATGCTCTCTCTCTCTCTCTCTCTCTCTCTCTCACTCACTCACTCCCTGTCCGGTGGCCACTATTTCCTAAGACTATTGTTTTATTTTTATAGCTTCCGTTAAATAAAATTTAGAAATAAGTAGTATATTATATATGATTATTTTATTTTATTTTATTTTTACACTCCCATCGAAATAAATATAACAGAAATAATTTTTGAATTATTTATTTTCAACCGAAAACTACAGGAAAAATGGTAGGAAGTTATGCTCAATAAAACATTTGACTGCAAATTCTGTGGCAAACGTATTATTCAAATGCATTTTATTTTAGGATTTTATTTTTGTATTATAAATCTTTGAAATAAAGATTGAAAAATAGATTTAAATACGAGAATTATATGTAAATTTCGCGTATAATTTGTGCCGAAATTGTGGATCAAAAAACAAAAATAAACTTTTATTTCTCGTATTATTATTATATGTTTCGATCGTATCTTTAAATCAAGAGATGAGAGACGAAAATGAAATCATAGGAAACGTTAAGAACATAAGAGTATTGTATTATAAGTGCGAGAATTGAGTGCAAAAAAACCTTCAGAATAATGCACTAGAAATAAGATACCGGCGCTTAGGTATTAGCGATAGGGGAATGTTATGTACGGAATAATGACTGAGAATATTAGTGGGAATATACATCAAATGGACGTAAACACCACACAATACAAGCGAAAAAAAATCAAACATAAAAAGCAATAAAACAATTGACAACAAAAAAGCAGTTGTCGTGAGAGACTCACCGGCGAAGTGTTGGCTGAAAGGGTTGTTATGTTGCGATAGTTTACGCATCTTATGTCTACCGGTGCTGTGAATGAATCGCGAGCGATGGATACGTGTGACAAATTGGCAAACGGAGAGGGTGTCCAAGTAATTGGCCTCCAAGTTGGTGATGTTGGCCACCACTGACGTCCACACCAGCCTCGAGCTGAGGCACTCCTTCAGCACTGATGTCAGCTTTGAATCCCTGAAGAAGTTATTTGTATATAAATAATATGGAGAAATGAAAACCAGATTAACTCTCGCAGTATATTAGCTGATCCGGGAGTTTTTCATGTCAAATAATAATATATATAATACGGTTATGGCTTATAATAAGGGACTGGCAAGAAATCAATCGTTTACTACTAATACAGCCTAACATATAGTTTGGTACGGCTTGTGATATATGGCTACAAGAAATGGTCTTTCAATTTGAGTGACAGCTAAATACAAGTTAACATAAATGCACTGCTATTTCATATTTAGTGTCAGCGCTTAAACACTACACACTATACAGTATAATAAGTTGATTGTGTATAATATTTTTGTGAATATATGGTTAAAATATAGGATATATAAAGTATTATATATTTTTTGCTGCTGTCCAATGTTTGACTTGTGGAGTTGAGCCTAAAGCCACTATCATTTATAGTTATATACTGTATTTGGGTCCAAATTACTAGTTAATAACTAGCAGC